AATAAAAACTTAAAAAAAAAAAAAAAAAAGAAAAGAAAAAAAAAAGAATAGACCTAGGATGGGGCACCTGGCTGGCTTAGTTGGTAGAGCAGGCATCTCGTACTCTAGGGGTTTTGAGTTTGAGCTTTGTGTTGGGTGTGCGAGTAAAACAAACAAACAAACAAAAAACAACAAAACAAAAACCAGGGTGTAAATACAGTGTTCTGTGTTTGTTGATGAGCAGGGTAGTATAGCATGCTGGCCAAGAACAGGTTTGAATCCTGGCTTTGAGCAAGCTACCTTATCTGAATCAGGGTGATAGTAGTACTTACCTTATAGGATTATTGTTAGAATTATGTTTTATATATCTAACATAAACATTTTGAGTAAAACCTGCTATATGGTAAACTATATGTATACTAGCTGTTACTAGTATTTAGAAGAGGATAAAAGTATTTGTGGTAAAATTTATTTTTACTTTTATAAGCTTAGGTAAGTTTCAAATTAGTTGAATAAAAGGTAAGATTTTTAAAATAATTTGATATCCCTCTAAAGGAATTAATTTCTCTATAGAAAGGGTTTTTGTATTCTATCTTTAAAACTAGAATAGATGAAATGGAAATTTTTATTTATAGGGAACTCAACCCTATGTATGAAGGATATCTACAGCATGATGCACAGGAAGTATTACAGTGTATTTTGGGAAACATTCAAGAAACATGCCAACTCCTAAAAAAAGAAGAAGTAAAAAATGTGGTAGAATTATCTACTAAGGTAGAAGAAAAACCTCATCAGAAAGAGGAAATGAGTGGTATTAACAGCATAGAGATGGACAACCTGAGGCATTCTGAAGACTATAAAGAAAAACTCGCAAAAGGAAATGGGAAAAGAAAAAATGACACTGAATTTGGTAACATGAAGAAGAAAGTTAAAGTATCCAAGGAACACCAGTCATTGGAAGAGAACCAGAGACAAACCAGATCAAAAAGGAAAGCTACTGGTGATACATTAGAGATTCCTTCTAAAATAATCCCCAAGTATGTTTCTGAAAATGAAAGTGCAAGACCCTCACAAAAGAAATCAAGAGTTAAAATAAATTGGTTAAAGCCTGCAGCTAAGCAACCGAGCATTCTTTCTAAATTCTGTAGTCTGGGGAAAATAACAACCAACCAGGGATCCAAAGGACAGTTGAAAGAAAATGAATATGATCTTGAAGAGGACTTGGGGAAGTGTGAAAATGATAACACAACTAATGGTTGTGAACTTGAGTCTCCAGGGAATAATGTTAAGCCCGTTAACGTTAACGAAGTTAAGCCCATAAACAAAGGTCAGTATAATTTATTCTTAGACGTTGATAGGTAGGAGGATTAACAGCTGCAGAACTGTAATGTTCTTAGATACATGTACAGTGTAAATCTGCTTCAGGTTTTAAGAGGAAATTTTAACAACATGAATTATGTTTTAAACACTGCTTAGATGTGTGTATAAATCTTACTAATCTTAAGGTGATGTTAATGTAGGGTAATGTTAATTTATGTTTTGTAAACAAGGAGTTCTATATATTTTAATGGAGAATTATTTTAACTCCTTCTGAAAGCAGTACTTGATAATAAACTTGAGAAATTGTATTTAGTGAAATACATTTTTAGAGAACTTTAGTAGTTATACTGTACTCAAACTGGATTTCTACCTAGTTTCATGCAGATCTCACAAATATGTGTAGTATTGGCATGGTTAAGGGTTTTACCAACAGTGTTGTACTTCTTTGGGGTTATTCCTATAGGAATGTCTTTGGGAAGGGAATTAAAATGACATAGTTTTGAAGATGAATTATAGTTATCTTTTCAGGGAATTTAGAGTTCATGAGTAAGGCACCTCTTAATGCTAATAAGCAAGTTTACGCTGTAATTGAACTATTGATTATGTGGGCTATGCTGAAAAGTACCCCCCCCCCTTTTTTTTAGGTGCAGAGCAAATTGGTTTTGAGCTAGTAGAGAAATTATTTCAAGGTCAGCTGGTATTGAGGACTCGTTGCTTAGAATGTGAAAGTTTAACAGAAAGAAGAGAAGATTTTCAGGACATCAGTGTACCAGTACAAGAAGATGAGCTTTCCAAAGTAGAGGAGAGTTCTGAAAGTAAGCAGAATTGGAGTCTTGTATGGACTTGTGTTGATCATGGAATAAGCAGTTTTTTCTTCAACGAAACACGGTCTCATAGTAGCTTGTATAATTATTGGGGAAAAAGAGCTGGCTTTTAATTGTCTCTGGTGTAATAAAGTCTTTCTGCTCATATAGATTCACTTGTTAATAGCATTTGGAAAATTGTTGGCATCTTTATTTTGATGTGTGTAGTGGGAAAATGAAATGCTGTAGTAACTCTTGGGTATCTTAGTCTTTGAGCTACATATCTGAGCCACTGTTTAGTATAAAACAACAAAAAGTAGGGAAAGGATCTGGGAAGTGATCAGAAGACTGCTTTACCTGTTCAGATATCGGAAATTAATAGCTGAACTAAAGCCTGTGTCTTAACACTCAGAAAGTAGGTTATTCTCATTTTGCTGTCCCTATCACCTCAATACTTTGGCTTCTCAAATATAAATATTTAAAAAATATATATACTATTGAGGATGAACTTAAAAGTTTCTGAAATTCAAAGGAATGTTTTTATCATTTAAAAGGATTAGTCAATTGAAATCATGCTAATTTTGAATATGGAACATGTTTAATTTTTAAATGTCTGAGAGGTTTTCATTTGTGAGTGAAAGGAATTCTCTCATGTAGTTTCTCCAGAGCCAAAAACAGAAATGAAGACCCTGAGATGGGCAATTTCACAGTTTGCTTCAGTGGAGAGGATTGTAGGAGAAGATAAATATTTCTGTGAAAATTGCCATCATTATACTGAAGCCGAACGAAGTCTTTTGTTTGACAAAATGCCTGAAGTTATAACTATTCATTTGAAGTGCTTTGCTGCTAGTGGCTTGGAGTGAGTATTATAAATAAAAGCTATATGAAAAAAATGAGCTGCTATAAGTTTTGTTCAAAATACTATAATAGTAACAAAAAAGCGTAATAGCATAATATAAACTACTGAAATGAAGTAATTTATAAAGATTACCTTAGAAAAGTCTGTTCTGCTTTTAAGAGTTAACTTAAAAAATGCATCATTTTAAATCCTTTTGGTGTAAATACATATTCTAGGATTTCTTCCCACATCTTTTAATCTTCATTCCTTATTACAAACAGTTTCAAGTTGAATTGATTAAAGCAGCAGATTTTATATAACATTAAGTTTTTTTTTTTTTTTTTGAGGGGAGAAAAAGGCAAGATAGTTTCATTTTCAAGGTAAGCCAGGAGTCAAACTAGTTCTTTCAAGAATGAGAGATTCTCTTCTTGTTGAAAATCTAAGTATCTTCATGACATATATACATGTTAATGAATTGTTTGAAATTATGAGAGCTGCCTACTAACTCTCTACACACTTTATTATGCCTGAAGATGACACTTAGTGCCTTCTTTCTGTGGATAATTTCTTTGCTGCTATTTATTTTTGTTTCCAAATTTTGGTAGTGAAAGCCTCCATATTAAAATTACTTACTAAAGGATTTTGAAGTTAAAATGGCATTTAAAAAACTGATTTTCTCATTGTACAAAATTAGAAAAGTAAAGAATATGAAAGGGAGAATGCCTTATATCCTTCACAGAGCTGAATATTAGCACTTAACTTCAGTTTTTCTTTGCATACATTTAAGTATACAAAATTAGAGTCTGGTTTTTATGTTTGTATAAGCACTAAATATTAAGGGCCATTCAGACATCTACTTGGTTTCACATTTGGGGGTAAAACTGAATATATATAAAGTGGAATTGCAGAAAACTTTTTTTTTCTTTCCTTCCAAAGGTTTGATTGTTACGGTGGTGGACTTTCCAAGATCAACACTCCTTTACTGACACCTCTTAAACTGTCACTAGAAGAATGGAGCACAAAGCCAACCAATGACAGCTATGGATTATTTGCGGTTGTGATGCACAGTGGCATTACCATCAGTAGTGGGCATTACACTGCTTCTGTTAAAGTCACCGACCTTAACAGTTTAGAGCTAGATAAGGGAAATTTTGTGATCGACCAAATGTGTGAAATAGGTAAGCCAGAACCATTGAATGAGGAGGAAGCAAGGGGTGTGGTTGAAAATTATGATGATGAAGAAGTGTCAATTAGAGTCAGTGGAAATACACAGCCAAGTAAAGTTTTGAACAAAAAAAATGTAGAAGCTATTGGACTTCTCGGAGGACAAAAGAGCAAAGCAGATTATGAGCTATACAACAAAGCATCTAATCCTGATAAAGTTGCCAGTACAGCATTTGCTGAAAATAGAAATTCTGAGACTAACAATACTAATGGGACCCATGAATTTGATACAGACAAGGAATCCAGTGACCAAACAGGCATTAACTTTAGTGGATTTGAGAACAAAATTTCGTATGTAGTGCAAAGCTTAAAGGAGTATGAGGGGAAGTGGTTACTTTTTGATGATTCTGAAGTAAAAGTTACAGAAGAGAAGGACTTTCTGAATTCTCTTTCCCCTTCTACATCTCCTACGTCTACTCCTTATTTGCTATTTTATAAGAAATTATAGAGTGAGTATTTTCCTTATGTATATATTAAACAGACCTGGACAAAAGCTGGTAAAGTTGATTACATCAGAGTCTAGCTTATCTTTTGAAGCTATGGGATATTATTGGTCTCTCTAGGTTTTTATATAGTGAAATTTGAATTACTGAAAACCATGTTAATTTTTAGAATTCATTTCTCATAGTAGAGACTAGTGATGCATTAGCTTCTGGAAACAAAACTGTATAGGTTCTTAGTTGAATTATTCAAATGGGAAGCATTTAAACACTTTTGAATTTACACCTATCTTTGTGTTTGCTTTTTAAAATAAAGTGCTTGTATTTGTATCTCCATATTTTGGAGTAATTATATGATGTTTATAGGTCCTGTGGTTTTTCAGCTAAGAAGCAGAATCTCATTCAGTACATTTAGTTTTATAAGTCATGAAGCCAAATCTTTAATGGGTTGTATTTAGAGGCACAAAGAAATATGTGTGTATTCACAGTAGTGTATATTTTGTGCCTTGAATCACTTTGAAAAGTATCTCAGAAAACCTGGACAGCTAGTCCCCTTTTATCTTCACAAGAATTTTATATGTATTTATGAAAATGATTCTGTATTCTAGTAAATCTTCTTGGGCATGGACTAATTTGTATCTTTCATAGTCATATTCTGCACGATCTGTATATATAGTATATCAAATTTAGAGGTGTGACCTTAAATTTAACTCTTTTTTAAAAACCGGGAGGTCAATAAAATTTAAACTGCTTAACAACTATGTATACAACTCAAATTTTTTTACTTGCCTATTTTTTAATAATTGTAGCTGAGTTCTTGTAAGAAAATGTATGTGTATGTATAATATGTGCATATATACACACACATACCTAGAAGAGAATAAACATGCGTAATTACCTTTAATAATACTGTGACAGTTGGAGGTTAAGAGATTTTTCAAATAGGAGAAACTGCTTAGTCCATCCATGTTGTCATACTTAAGTTTATAGTAAAAACTGCTGCATTATAGTAGTCCTCTAAAGTAGACATAACTTTATGGAATCCGTAAAGATGATGCTTTGTGCACACACAAAAATGTTAAATTTTCATTCTAAATGTATATTAAATTGGTAAATGATCAGTTACCTTATGGCTTAAGACATTAAAAAAATCTGAAGAATATATAATGCCATTAGAGTAACACTTTTATACCCCCATTTCAACAAATAAGAGTACCTGTCAACTAATAAATTAGTCCCAGTTAAATCATGTCTTCTGTTCTTCCACAGGATGGTGTGATATAAAATGTCATGGTTCTCACCTCATTCTACATTCAGAATCACTAATGGAACTTTTAAAAAGAAAACAGCCCTGAACACTACCTTTAAGTTTCTGATAGAGTAAGAATCATTAATGGAACTTTTAAAATGTAAAAGCCCTGAACACTACTCATAAGCTTCTGATGGAGTAGTTCCAGGATATAGCCTGGGTCTCATACTCAAGAGATAGCCAAGAACTATTGGTATAGATTCTTGATAGGAGAAAGTTTTAAGAAAACTGAAGCATGTGGAAAGTAAGGAAGTGTTCAGTATCATACGATTGTTCTCAGAGGAAGCCTGTTTTTATTCAAGTCAGAAAACTATTGCACGGTAATTAAATCACAATTATATAAATTCTAGAGTTCTTGATACTGTCACTGAGATTTATGTGACATATTCCAAGCTCTTACATGATATAATCTAGTAAGTAATGACCTAAGGATTACTTTATATTCTCTCCTTTATATATACCTCCCCCATCCCTTGCCCTTAAGAGGAGAGAGTATTTGTTACCTTGTATTTGTTCTAATGAATTTCCATTCTTGACTCCTTGTATTTCCTTATTGTTCATGTGGATCCTCTGTCCCCAAATTTGTTTTTGAGGTTATTCCTTTCTGACTCCAGTCTACCCCTTTTCGTCCAACACTGTTGACTCATCTGAAAAATCTTGTGCTTCAGTCTTTGGATTGATGTAGGTAAGATGAATTTGAGATAATACTGCCAGTTATAAAGGTAGGCTGCAGAAGGGTATCAACCATCCCCTATAGTCTCAGGAGAAGCAGACATTTTTGAGATCTTGTTTCAATATCAACTACAGAATGAAGGCACCATATTTAATTGGTTTTTAAGTGATTCATGTCATTGGTCAATAGATCAGGGACATATTAAAAATGATGCCTTTCTATAAGCTGTATTACTACACGAAGAAAAAACTACTGAAAACACAAAAATCATTAATAGGTAGTTTTTTGGATAAACCTGGCCCAAAGTAATTGCAATAAATATTTTCAAAAGGATTTTTGCCTTAGTTTTTCATGTCAAAGTTACTTTAAATTAGTTCTTAATTTCAATTAAAACAGCTAATTTTACCTTTTACATAAATAAAGTTTATATAGGTGTTAAAAAATTAAACTTCTCATTCAGCTGGTAGATTAAAATCAAACACGAGCTCTCGGTGTCCTTTTTATGGTGATGTAAGATAATAGTTTACCAGTTTAAATGACCAAACTCATAAAATGACTGGCTTGTTTAATTTGAAACACAGGAATCCTTCACTAGTTGCTGAAAGTCATGAAGTTCATATTATCAGTATAACAAGACTCAAAGATTAAGCTACTGTGACTGGTAGCAGCTATCCCAGTATTTAATCGTTACAGACAAAAGTTTCATCACGTAAAGTTACTCTATAATTTATCCTAAATCCCTGGTGGTGGTGGTGGTTTTTTTGTTTGTTTTTGTTTTTGTATTTTTGTTTGTAAGTGGAAAATAACTTAGAAACCTGTTTTAAGACTTCACAAACCAGTTATCCATATCTATCTATACCCATTTATTCATTTATTTAATTTTGGGCTCTTTGGCCCGTACAATGTCAATTTTCATTTTTTAAAACTTAGCTAGATTTGGAACTAGTTCTTGAATCAACTCAAGATTCTCTGCTTTTGTCAATAATAATTTTTAAAGTCTCACTCAGTAAAATTAGTGTAAACGTTCACATATTTAATAGTACCTTTAAAATAAGCATTACTACATTTAAAATGGTTCCAAAATGAATCTATAAATGGTAATATAAATTAAAAAATACAAACTTAAAGTAAATAAATTTAACATTAGCTATGGTATAAATAATAGTAAATGTATAGTGAGTCATTACTTTTGAGTCTTAAAAAAAGATAACAGCATATTACCAGAACATGAGAAACCATGGCCATGATTCTCAAACTTCAGTGATCTACATTTGATACTGTTTTGGCCACCACATTCTTCAATGAGTAGTAAATTAATGCTAGAATTTCCAGAATTAAGCCCCAAGTCCTGTTTTTCAATAAATCTTTTCACACTCAGTGTTGAATACATGGCTCTCTTCAAATGAGTAAGACAAGTACATTTATTTTAAAGATCCATTTTGCGCAGGCTCATCCGACTGAAGGAATCTCTGGGGAGAAAATGAAAGGATATAAATATAAATACGTTTTGCATATTTCTTTAAACTATGCTTTACAGACTTCTTTCTGCAGAGCTATCTCAAAGTTTTGCCATCAGAGTTACTAACTTTCAAGTTACATGTCCATCCTATACATTCTGCTTTATATATTTTGGTTTTACAGATTAAAAATATATTACAGTAACCACTTTGCCAAGTGCATTGACCATTTACTCATTTGTCCAAATTAGATATTGTGATGAAACAGGAGCAAGGAATAAGGTGAGAGATTTCAGGAAAAGATTTGTGATTATTAAAAAGAAAAAGGCAGGTGCTGGTTATTTACAATTTTAAATCCTAAGAGTTAAGCAGTTCTCAAACTCCTCGGTGTTAGGTCCTTTTTACACTTAAAAATTGAGGACCTCAAAAAGCTTTTGAAAGTGGATTCTACATTGATACTCACCATACTAGAAATTATTAAGGAAATTTTAAATTATTATTTAATAAAATAACCCATTACATGTCACTATAAATAGCACTGTTTTTAAAAACTTGTAAGAATTTTAGGAGTGGCATTCTTATTAAATGTCTAGCTCATAGCCTAAATTCTCATACCTGCTTCTGCATTCAATCTTTCACAATATTCATATTGCATGTAGTCTCTGGAAAACTCTTAAGAATGAGAGTGAAAAAAATGAAAAACCTTTGGTAGAAACCTCACAGGGTTTCAGGGACACCCTTCCATGTGTTCCAAGGTCACACTTTGAGACCGACCATCTTAATAGCTTTTAAGCCTACTGCAAAATAATATTCCAGGTTATGTTAACCAGCAAAATTCAGATTCAATGAAAATGCTATTTTCTAAGTTCTCAAGAAATAACAGTGAAGAGGATAATGTTCTTCAATACCTCTTAATGTCTTTTTCTCTATTCTGAAACTGGTTTCTTTCAGTTTATCCTTCCTCCAATTAAGGTTAAACCCTGAGGCTTAGATCTCCAAGAAAAGTGAGGGCAGGTACAAAAAGATCATTTTTGAATCTCAAAGCTTGGTTTTCTGGTTCCAGGGAAAATACCAGCCTTGAAAGCTAGACACTGTTCACCACACCAGCAGCCCCCCCACCAAAGTGTGTTCGTTAATTCCAAAAGAACAATATTAAGAAAAGCTTGGGGGGCTGACCATAACATAGATCACAGAGGAAGGCAAAAGTCAGGATTACAGTGTTAAGAGAAAAACTCCTTTAGATTGGAATGATACAATGTTTCCACTAAAATGGGCTGCAAATTTGAAGGAAGCAAGACTAGCATTCCCAAAGGGCCTGATTATGTCAAGGACCCAGTACCCTCTTCCCAGGACCTTGGACCAGTGAGTTAAGAGGAGGTGGGTAACGGCAACAAGGAGGCAAAAATTCCAAAAAGACTGAAGGGAAGCACAAAGTAGAGGGGACTGGCATTGCTTCCCACTGAGAATTTTAAGAGGAAATGTATCGGTTATAAGATGGTGGATGCAAATTATATTTTGCCAGAGACAGGATTTTTTAATTTAAATTTTAGTTAACATACAGTGCAAATTGGTTTCTAGAGTAGAATTCAGTGATTCATCACTTAAAATACCCAGTGCTTATCGTAACAACTGCCATCTTTAATACCCATCCCCCACCCCCTCCATCAACCCTCGGTTTGTTCTCTATCCTTGAGAGAGACGAATTTAGAAAGGCCCCCGTCTCCGTCTGTTACTGTACAGCTACAACAATGCTCCATGTAGGGACATGACCTACAGCAGGCCCTTAGCAGACCTTCTTTGAATGCATGTGTGATTTTTTTTTTCTAAATCACTGAAGAACAGGGACTAATTTCCAGATGATCAAATAGCTCATTTCACTTTTGTAGCATGTTATAC